GCCGTGTGCCAGTGCCGTGTGCTGGCGTGGGAGCGCTGCTGTGTGGCCCCGGGACACGGTGCTGCCGATGGCGTGTCCCCCTCGGCCCAGCTGACACAGCACCATGGGGGTGGCATGGGGGAGAACCGTGCTCTGCTCTCCCTGGGCTCCTGGTTCCGGCACGGTGGGACCAGGCTCAGGAGAGGTGTTGGCAAACCCCAAGGGGGATTTCCTCCTCCTCCAGCTTCTCTGAGGCATGTCCCCAGGCTGCCATGCCAGGGCTGCAGGGCAGGGTGTGAGGGGTGGGGACATGCCCCTGCTGGGGGCAGGTGGCAGTGGGACAAGAGGGGATGGGCACAGCTTGCACTGAGCAAAAGTGTGACCAGAGGCAGGGGAGTTGGCAGCCCCTGGGCCCGGCCTTGGCTGTCCCCATGGGTGAGGGCACAGGCAGGTGACTTCGGGGAGCCCTGGCAGGTGCCCAGCTGGGTGGTGACCATCAGTGGGTGTCTGTGGTTGGGTCCCCACCGGGGTGAGGGGGCAGGACTGGCCTGGGGTGAGGGCTCGGCTTGGCCTTGTGGCTCTGCCCGGCTGCGGGGCCTCGCTCACCAGCCAGCTCCGGTGCTCGTCTTTCTCCGTGACCACGGCTTCACTGGCCTGCGCTTCCCAGCTGTGGGCAAGTAAGTGGGTATTTAATGACGATTAAAGGAAGTCGGGGTGTTGATTCTCCAGGAGCTGAGCCCCATCCCCTGGGGCTTCTGCCAGGCCGGTACTTGCTGCCTGCTGCTGCTGGCTCCATGGGCAGTGCTGGGACCTGTGGGAGAGGCTGGCAGGGAGCAGGCAGCAGTGCGCCTTCTTCCCCAAGGAGGAGCTCAGGCAGACTGTGCCCTGTCCTCTGGTGGGTGCAGGACAGGGATTTTGGAGGCTTGCCCCAGGCTGTGCATGGTGCTGCTTCACCTGCATTGGGGCTGGTAAATCCCTCACAGGTGCCAGGCCACGGGGAGAGGGGGGCTGACATGGCAAGTTTGGGCTGTGGGGGCATCACTGGGGTTGCCAGCTTGGGGGTCTCTGGGCAGGGGCTCCCAGCCCCTGGCTGTCCCTCTGCCAGGCTGTGCTGGCCAAAGGCGATGGCTGTGGGCTTTGGGGCATCTCTGGGAGTGGGCAGGAAGGATGGAACGACCTTTTGGGTGGTGGCGATGGACGTAGAGAGCTGCCTCCACCTGGCCTGGCTGCCCCCACGGGCCCCTGGCTTGGCCGTCAGGGCATGCACGCTGCCATGACCTGCGGACGCTGGCAGAGTTGTCCTGCCAAAGTCCATCACCCAGTGCCTGCGGCCATGCTAACCCTGGCTTCAGCACATCTCCCAGCTGCCCCTGGTGCTTGCCCGAGTGTGGGCACAGTTGGGACCGCTGCGCCAGGCTGGGCTGTTTGCTCTTGCTGTGTCCCGTGGGGCTTGTCGGTGCTTTTGGCCTGGCAGCGTGGGAGCTGCACGTCCCCGGCTGGTGCTGCTGCCTCGTGCTTGGGCCATGCAGTGCCCGACCCCACTTGTCCTCCTTGCGGCCCCCTGCTCCCATCTGCCGGCATGGCAGGGGGTGGGAGCAGGCGTGGAGTCGCTGGCTCGGTGCTCCGGGGAGCTGAGTGTCC